GGCCACTCCCTGTGCAGCACAGGGAGAAACTAAAGGTGAAAAGACAATCATGGTCCCTGCTCTCCTGGTGCTTAGAGTATACCGGGGACTAGAGCATTACAATACAGTGAAGTAAGCATTGTGATGACAGGAAGGCCAAGCGCCACAGTATCCCACAGAAGAAGCAGTTAGCCCAGAAATGTTTTCTGGAGATCTGATAATGAGCTAGCCAGAGAAGAGTGGGGAAACAAAGTTCCAGACAGATGGCACAACATGAAAGAGGCTGATGCAACCAAGAACTGAGGGAAATTCAAAATGCCTAATGCATACAGTGGGAGTCCCTGGGTGATGTAAACAGTCAATGTGCTTAACTACTGACAGAAAGGTCGGAGGTTTGAGCCCACCCAGAGGTGCCTCAGAAGAAAGGCGTAGCAATCTAATTCCAAAAAATCAGCCATCGAAAACGCTATGGAGCACAGTTCTACTCTGACACGCATGGGGTCGCCATGAGTCAGAATCAACTTGACAGCAACTGGTGGTGGTGGCAGTGCATAGAGTATGAGGGGAGAATGGTGAGAAATGAGAGACTGGAAAGTTCCAGAGAGGGGACTGGGTGACAGCCATAGGATGCACCCCAGATACAAGGACACACTTTCACGACATCAGGCCTTTGTTTAGAAATCTACGGTGGCTACCACTGACTGCCACATGACCCGGGCATCTCTCCGAGGCAGTTTCCTCAGCTGTAAAATGGGATACTAGCGTCCACCTCATTACAGGATTGTGAACTGTAAGCCCATCAGTCTTGAGGCTCAGAAAGAGGGACAGTGTTTCACAGGTTTTGGGATTCCCCCCCAACCCCCAGAGCCTAGTACATGGCCAGGGACACCTAACACTTTACAGCTGGGTTTCTTAACCCGCGGTTAATGAACTTAAATGGAATAAAATTACATCTTTATTTTCAAAAATCTCTTGACTTAAACTTAGCACTCCCTTTCATTATGATTGTAGATAACAAACCACAGTAGTACTTCTGGTGACTTTGTCACAATGGCAATCACAGATAGTTTCACTCACATTGGAGTTGTTGCAGATATCATGAAATACGACTTATGTGTATCACTAGTTCGATATTAGTTATTAGGCCTGCTGCTAAATCTTGTTAATCTGATAATGAGGAAGTGTAATTTTACTATGTCAAAAATCTGGGTTTTTAATTTTATTAATTGTATTTAAATAGTTCAGTTTCCTTTACACTCCTATATATTTTAGTAATTTAAGAACGTTATTCTGAGTAGGGGTCCACAGGCTTCACCGAATTGCCAAGGGAGACCCTAGTAGAAAAAAAAAGTTAAGAACCTCTGCTTAATAGGGATGTATGCTGCCCTAACCTTCCCATAGGGCTGCTTGACTTTGGGTGTCGAGTCACCTCTCTGACCTCAGCCCATCACTTCCATCTCTTGGTGCCCTCAGAGGGAGGGGATCTGGGACACTTGTTCCCAAAACAAACAATTGCACCAACTGCTTGCAGGGCACTGGATAGGGCAATGCCCCAGGGGTACAGGACCAATCAGTTGCAGTACTGTTTGAACCAGTGGGCAAAGAGCTGGACATACCCACACAACCTCCTGAGAAAAGTGGCTGCCAGCCATTTCAGCCTGCCGAGGTTAGTCCTGTAGCCTGGGGAAGTGGCCAGGCAGGACAGCTTGCCACACAGGTACTTTTGGATTGAATGGCAATTAATTGACCCAATTAGATCCTGTCTCTTGGAGTGTCTGAATTTGAATATGCATGGGGAGGCAGCAGTTGGGAGGGCCAGTGGAAAAAGAGACATGCAAAGAATGTGGTGGAGGCAGAGAGAGGGACATGAAGAGTAGGGACTGCCCAAGTAAGAGTGGCCTTTCATCACACCTCCTGGAGGAGGTCTGGCCCGGCAGCCCTGTCACTTCAGAGAGATTTGCTTCCTACCACCTGGAAGAGGCCCCCTAGCCTCTGCTCCCAGAGCTCCCAGAATTGCAGAGGACCAGGAGTCCCCTAGAAGCACAAAGCTCACAGCAGAGGATGGCTCCTCATATGCCAGAGACCCAAAGAGGAAGTGGGAGCTTTCCCCTCAGCCACCAAAATCTAGTCTGACCCCCTCCTGGCCCAGGCATAGGCCCTCACCCCTGTCCCCAGCCCTAGGATGCTGAACTTCTATGTCCTTGCAGGCCCCTTTCCAAGGTCTCCCTATCCGCTTGACTGTTCTCAAAGCAGCCAGAGCCTTTGTTGGAGGGGGTGGATGGCAGGAATCAGGGGGAGGGAAGTCTGTCATTTCGCACCTGAAACAGGCAGCATGGGGTAGACCTCCCTGATCTGGCTCCCTTAGTTCTCCCTGGCCAGGCTCCTTTCTCTTTGGGGCCTATAACATTTCCCTCTTCTCCAGAATTCCTCATGGATCAAACCTAGTCTACTCTGCTGAGAAACAGATTCAGATTCAACTATAATCATATCTCACTTAATCCTGACATTTGCTGTGGAGTCAATTCTGACTCATGGCGACCCCCTGTGTGTCAGAGTAAAATTGTGCTCCATATGACTTTAAATGGCTAAATAGATCACTAGGCCTTTCTTCCAAGATGCCTCAGGATGGGCTCTAACCTCCAACCTTTTGGTTAGCAGCCAAGTGTTTGCACCAGCCAGAGACTCCCCCTAACATTTTAGAGATGAGGAAATGAGGCTCAGAGAGAAGTCTGATGCCAACAGTCAGAAATGTGGAGTCCAAGCATCTCAGTATGCCCTATAAAAGCCCTGCATTTCTGGCCTCCTCTCCAGCCTCACCGCTGGAGCTCCTTACCACCAAACTGACATACTTGCAGTCCTCAAGACAAGCCATGCCCTCTCATTTCCAAGCCTTTGCTCCTGATGTCCCCTTGGCTAGAATATACCTAAGATGCCCTGGTGAGTTCCTGAGTCAACCTTTAAGACTCAGTCCAAGTGTGCTCCACTGTTCTTGTGAGACAGGGGCTGTGTCCTGTTTTTGTATTTCCAGCCTTTGTCACTAAATGATTAGGGTCCAGAAGTATGGTCGGCATTTGAAACCCCATGGGATAGCCCCAGGATGAGAATCCTGTTGCCCAGTTCCTGGCTGGTGTAAAAATGGCGTGGTGGGGCATCAGAAGCCTTCCTCGAACTTCACAAGGGAGAGAGAGGATCAGCATAACATCAGCCCAAGGTGGATTCCTATGAGGTGGAGGTCAAACATACCTCCACCCTCCAATCTTTTTACCAAGTCTGACACTAACTGTCCCTCCCACAGCACTCTACTTCTCTGCTGGGTTCAGTAATTCATTGCAATGGCCACAGAGAACTCAGACTATACTCACGATTATGGGGCTTTTTAGGGAAGTAACAGGTTACAATTCAAGATCAGGAACAACTCGGGATACAGTTCTTTGGTTAGGACAGCTCTTCAGCCATGCCCACAGGCAAGCCTCTCCCTGGCCCTCGGGCCTCTTGGCCTCTGCCCTGCTTGGGCAAGTGTTACAAAGCTCTTTAGCTCCACCAGTAAGTGCCCATGTTACCCCACTCCGCTAGTAAGCCTTGGCCTGAAGGCGCTCAGCTCTTTAGCTACTTGGGTCGGCAAGCCTAGTTCCACTGACAAGTGCCAGGAGGCGCCCTACTTTGCCGCGAAGCCTCCTGCCCAAAGCGCTCAGCTTTCTCACTCTGTGAGTCGGTGAGCCCAACTCCACCAAGTGTCCAGAGGCACCCCACTCCACCAGCAAGCCTCCTGCTCAAAGGTGCTCAGCTTTCTCACTCCATGGGCCAGGAAGCCCACCATGCCATCTGCTGGTCTCCTGCTCCTGCTGCTACCAGTTCTCTGCCACACTTGCTGTCACTTCTTGCTGTCTTATGCCATCTCTGGTGTTACAGCTGTCTTCTAGGTCTAGGAGGTTCTCAGCACATGAACCTGAGGTCCAAAGGATGCATGAGCTCCTGTCTCTTCTTGGTGGTCGTAAGGTCCCCCCGTCTGCCTCTGGGATGGCTCATTTTAAACCTAGTAGATGGCAAAACTGACAGATCCCCTCATTAGGGTTCCATACACCTTATTTGCATGGTCACAACCCCACAAGGGTGCCATGCACCTTATTTGCACAAACTATCCAATCCCCTTGGTTGGTCACAAGTACCTCATTTGCATAATCCCAGTCAGTCATTTTGTGGGAGTTACAAGACCATGGTGAGAAAGGCCATATAAAATCATATTTCAGGTGGTAAGTAGGCGACATCTAAAGCCCCTGAGGGCATGAGTGGTCCTCCAGGTTCCAGCAATTGTCACTAATGGGTTTATTCAATCACTCAACAATACATAATGGGTCTGTTATGCTCTGCACACTGGGCCAGGTCCTGGAGATCAAAGATAAATGGAGAAATTAACTGGGAGGAGATACTCAAGCTGAAACTTTAAGCACACCCTAAAATCTGCAAAAGAAAAACAACAGAGTTTAATCTGTCCTTCATCCAGGTGTGCGGGGGCCCCACCGCGTTCCCAAGGCAGAGATTTGAAGGGGATTAGATATCTAATCCCTTGGGTCTCGTTTTCAGGAAGGCGTGAGGCCTGAATCCTAACCTGGATTCACACCTGGCCCCACTGTTCTCCTAATTCCCTGCATTGGGTCCGGCAATTAACGGTCTAGTTGTCAGCTCATTCGCTCTCGGGAGACCCCGGGAGACTTTGAAACGATAGTACCCCGACTCAAGAGACTCCAATCTAGACGTGGGCCTCTTAGACGAGCAGCTACCCCTAACGAGGGTCTCAAGCGGTCTTCCTAGAAAGTGCCGCCCCTTTAAAAGGAGGAGACTAGCAGACGTGGGCTAGAGACCGAGGGACGCGTCACAAATCCTAAACAGAACTCCCTGTCCCAAAGTGACCCCGGGGTCCGGCGCTTTCCCAAGAGGACACTTCCGCCAGCTGCCCCGCTGAGCCCCCAAGGCGCGGGCGCCGATTGGCCAGCACGTCGCGGGGCGGGGCCACATCTTAAAGGGTCCAGAGCTAAAGCCAACCGGAGGTGGCGGTGGCGGCTGGGAACTGAGGGAGGTGATGCCGCCTGGCCCCACGTGGTCCCGCCCATACCCCATGTGGGTTTAAGTCCCTCTAGTGACCATCCCTACTCTCAGGCCCATGGAGCCCTCGCGAGACTATCCACTGTTCGGGGGCGCCTTCTCCGCCATCCTCCCCCCCGGAGCCATTGATGTAAGGTGAGGAGTCCGGGGCGCCGATGGAGGCCGACCGGGTGGTTGCGGGAAGAGGCGGGGGTCAACTAGGGACTGCCTTGCGTCTCCCCAGTGACCTCCGACCGGTCCCGGACAATCAGGAAGTTTTCTGCCACTGCGGGACGGACCAGAGTCTGATCGTGGAACTTCTGGAGCTGCAGGCCCACGTGCGGGGCGAAGAGGCTGCGCGGTGAGGAAGGCGAGCCCACGGCCAGCCAATGGGATAGCCGGAACTGAGGAAATGGGCGGGGACTATGACATGACGGTTAATTAGGGCAATAAGAACTCTACTGGCAGTACCGCCGGAAATGATCCAAGCCAGGGATTTAGAGATGTCGTGGGGGGCGGGGAGAGATTACCCTCCCTAATTCTGCTCTACTCAACCCAGGTACCACTTTGAGGACGTTGGCGGGGTGCAGGGGGCTAGGGCTGTGCAAGTGGAGGCTGTGCGGCCCCTGCCTTTGGAGAACCTAGCCCTGGGGGGTTGCTGTCAAGATGCCTGGGTTCTCTCTGGCAAGCAGCAAGTAGTTAAGGAAAACCATCAGGTGAGGGCCAGGCATGGCCGGGAAGG